TGCAGCCTGTTCTCTGCAGGCACAGCTGGGCCAGGAAGGAGCCCTGTGTCGCTCTCAGCACCAACCTGCTGGCCAGGGCTCTGCCCTCACTGTGGCAGGTGACCCCTGGGGCACTCGGGAATCCCGAGATCACCAGCCTGTCCCCACGCAGTGATGGGAGTCCACAACAATTACAGGCTTCCTGCGTGTCCTGCCTCTGGGGTTTTGTCACACATGATGTCCCACATCTGGGACTCACCAGTTGGGGATGGCAGTGCTATTTCCATGTCAAGCTGTAGCTTTTTTACCCCCAGCCGTTTCAGGCTTACAGCTATTGTGTGGGGTTTTCAATGTTGCAAGAATTTATATTGGGAAAAAAGTGCCTTTTTTTTTTTTCCCCCTCAATGCCTTGGGAAATGTCATCCAGCAGGAATGTTCCCAAGAGCTGATCATGGCAGAGAGGAGGATGGGACTGAGCAGGGACTGCATGCCCAGCTCCCATCCCTGTCCCCAGCCTCCTGGGACCAGCTCCTTGGACTGTTGCTCCCATGGGTTCCCCATCCCTGCTCCCCAGACTCCACCCTGTGCCCCTGGGGGATCTCTGTAACAGCAACAGCAGAGGCAGGAGGGAGGGAGCAGATGCCTGGAGAGGGACAAGCTGCTCACAGAGCCACTCCTGCTGCAGAGGCTCTTGGTTTCATGTCCTCTTGGCCGTGCCAGTGGCCTCTTCCACTTCCAGCACTGGATGGAGTTTACAAGAAACGCTGGAAGTCCCAGCCCTGTGGTGTGTCATCATTCAAACTTCTCTTTAATAGTGTCCCAAAGTAATTTATTTTTCCCAAACATCAAAGCCCCCCGAGCAATGCTGGGAGAGGCAGGGCTTCCCCCCAAGCCCTGGCAGCTCCCACACACCCCTGCCCTGCTCGTGGGGGCTGGACATCCTCCTTGGCTGTCCTGGGTCAAGCCATGGTCTCAGGTGGGACTGTGGAGCAAGGGTAGGCAGAGCTGTGACACTGCATGCAGGATGAGAAAGCAGACCTTCCCCCTGAAAATACAAGGGAGATGTGTATTGATTGCCTCACTGTGAGGATGCTGATGCCTTTTCTGCGCTCAGCATCACATCACAGACCACTTCCACAAGACTCAGGAGAGGTACAAAGAGAAAAAGAATGAGGAGAAAGAAACAGCAAGGAGATGTGAGTCTGCATCTCCTTTTTTTTTGCCAGGATCCAGAGCTGCCCTCCACCCTCCAGCACACCAGGAAATGATGGGGATTCAGGCAGAGCATCTCCTCAGTGGGAACCCCATGCCCAGGCTGTCCCCCCGGCCCCCCAGCACTGCTCTTCTCCCCAGCCACAGGAGCTTTGTAGAGGGAATTTGACAGAAACATTGCAGCAGCCTCTACAAACACAGTGTGCTGCTGTCCCTGCCAGCGCTCCATGCTGGTTTGCCTCAAGGAATCTGTGAGATCCGTCCTGCTGTGATCTGTAACAATATTGGGATTAAATTAGCTTCCCTGAGCTGCAGAGGGGTCAGTGTGTAAGGCCCCTGGTTAATCCAGCGGGCCAGAGAGAACAGAAGCCTCCCTGCACTGGGAAAGGAAAACAACGGGGTCTGTTTGCAATCCGTGGAGCTAATTCAAACAGCATTCCTCAAACAACAGGGGAAAAGAGCCTTCAGAGCAAATGGGAAAGGAGCATTTCCCAACATGCGCATAACGTCCCTCCTTGGGGAGAGGCGAAATGTCCAGACTGCTCGGGTGAGGTGTCAGAAAACGTGGCAGGCACAAGAAAGGGGTCTGAAGAGCTGGGCAGCTGGTGGGGCACATGAGAATGACCTCCTGCTCTGGGCATGGTGAGCCCAGAGCAGGTCAGTCCTACTGGACCCCACGGGGAGCACTTGGCTGCTGCCCGCACCATATCTAGGGTGGGATGGATCATCTCATCCCACCCAGCTCTGTGAATGATGGGATCCTGCTCTCCTGTCTCCCACAGAGAGTTTTACATCAATGTAATTACGGCTCTGCAGCTCGTGGCTCTCAGCACCACAAACCGTGATGACAATCCAGGGGCAATCCCGGATGGAGATGGTTCCTGCACTGGCTGCTGCCAGACTGCCAGTGCTGCCACCTCTGAGCACAGACAACAAGCAGCCCTCACTGGATGAGAGCCCGGGCTTGCTTGGGAAGCAGAGGCATGCCCGAGTGATCCTATCAGGAAGTCAGCTCCTCTGGCTCCCAGATCTCCTGTGGGAGGCCTGTGCCTAACCCCAGTGCAGGCTGAGCAGCCCCTGCCAGGAACCCAGTCCTTGTCTTGTACCCAGAGCAAGTGTCGATGCAGTGAATAGCAGAACACTGGGAGAACAGTGTTCCTGGGACTGCAGGCTGCAAGTGTGCAGGTGTTTACAATTTACAATTATAAAGAGTTGCCTGGGCTATCAGTCTTCCTGCAGCAGAGAACCCTCAGAGCAGCAGACCACAGCAGAGCTCTCATCAAGGCTGGGAGCGTCTCAGACACTTCAGGATGTACTTGCTTTCCTTCTGCTTTCTCTGCGAAGTCTTTTCTGCTTTTTGCTTATGCTGAGATATTATCAAGGGCTTATGAGGCACCAGGGATGAGTAATACACCCTCTGTGCCAGCGGGGAACTTGTAGGCACTGGTAGGGTTAATGTGGGTCTGACAGAAGCTGTGGTGCTCAGTGCTGGAGCTGCTGGGGGCAGACCTGGGTGCATCCCCAGGTCTTCTGCTCTCAGCTGCAACCCGGGGCTAAAGGGCATGGCTCCTGGATGTCCCTGTGGTCCACAGCAGGGTGGGTCTTCCATGGAGAAAACCCTTTTTTTTCCCCTTGTTGAGAGAGGCAGAGAGGTACAGAGGGCAGGGACTACAGAGGGATGAAATTTGACAAAAAAATGACAAGTTTTTAACATAAGAACAACGTGCTTAAGGGGTGGGCTTGGGGATGTGGGGCAGTTGATGCTTCCTCTGCAGAAACTGGAAGCAAGGTTCTGCCCTCAGCTTTGTTCAGCGCCGCTGTGCCCGTGTCCCAGCTGGAGGAGCCTGGGCTGCTGGGCACCTGCTGTGGGCGTGAAGGAACCCTCCAGTCAGAGCTCTGCTTTCAATCTGGAGTCACTTGGCATCTTAGCCTGCTAAAATGTGGAATTTCATGTCCTTTTGTACGAGAGAGAAACAACGTGTTTGGGATTAATTTAGGATCAGCCTGAACAGCCATTAGTTGAAGAAAACCAACCCAGTAAATAAGCTCCTGTCAGAGGGGGAAGAAATGTGGGACTTGATGCTGGATTTACTGTGGAGGGTGTTAAGGCAGGATTTAGTGTGACTTGCCATCCTCTGCAATGACACCTCTAGCACCAGGGTGCTGTGAGCACGACCCTTTGCCTTCAGCCAGACCTGCTCTGTTGGCCAATTCCTGCCATGACGGTAGCCCTGCTCCTGTGACAGGGTCTGTCAGCACTGCCAGGACGGAGCTCTGTCTTCAGGGTTTATTGCTCACTTATAAACATTTGCTCCTGACTGAAACTTGATCTACAGCTGTCAAGTGGGGCTATGGTGGTCCAAGATCAGAGAGGAGAAGGTTTGGCTGTTCAACAGCAACATAAAAAAAGATCTTGGGTTCATCATCTTTTTCATTCTTACAGTCAACGGAGTGATGTTGCCCCAGAGCAACATTTGGTGGTACTTGAGAATTCCCTAGAACAGAAAGTAAAAAAGGTCCAAATAAAAATAGGAAAAGATCTTCAATATGGAGACTTGTGGCAGCGACTGCTGAGCATCTGCCAACATCCAGAACACATTCACAACACTCTTGTGAGATAACAAGGATCTCGGTGATATCATTTACAAGTGTGAAATGAGGGACATTTAATGAGGTGTCAAGGAAAATTCAGGATGAATAAAACTTCCATGTACATGTGCATTGACACACAAAAAAAGCAAAGGAAAAGCTGCAGAAAGGATGAGTTTTCCCTCCCACCTGTTTTGGGTTATTTTGCACTTTTGTGTTCCCACCTGCCCCCACACAAGTGCTGTGCAGAGCAGAGAGGATGGCAGGTGAGGAATTCAGGAGGCTCTTCAAACCCGTGTGTCTGGGGGGCTGCTCGATGCCACATCCTGTACCCATACCCTTGCCCTTGGGGCTGTCGGTCTGTGCCGAGTTCCATGGAGCATTCCAGGGCTCATGCCAGGGGCTGTCAGGGATGCTCGGGGACCCATCTTCAGTGGGGGCTCGTGGGCAGCAGAATGTCAGCAGAATGCCCTGGCCCCAGCGAGGGACCCAGGAGGGATTCAGGAGCCACTGGAGGGTCTGTCACAACCTTCAAATGAGCCCATACCCTATGGCTTCCAGCTTAGAGCCCTGTGAGCCGTGGGAGTCTCTCCCAGGAGATTGCCAGGGTCCAGGATCCTGCTCATCCCGCCTGGCACAGGAAGTCTCAGGGAAGGTGCCCAAGCCCTGACATCCCCTGTGCACCTGAGAGAAGTGGGGTCTGTCCCATAGCCCTCCTGGACACCCCAGTTCCAGCAGAGGAGGAAAGGGGAGCTGATGGCACTGGGAGCAGAGCTCCCAGGCTGCTCGGGTGTGCTGGAGGGCAGGTGTCCAGGCAGCCCCACCACAGCCATGCTGCTCTCCTGAGCAGGAGCATTTCCTTCTGCTGCGCAGCCAGTGATGGAAAAACAACCAGGCGGTGAGCTCTTTGACTTCGTGCCTTCCCCTATCCAGAAGGATAATAAGCTGCTTTTAATATCTGACATGTTTATTAACAGATGCAGTTGTGACAGCTGATGACTTCATATGCCACTTACCACTGAAGTGTTAGTAATAACTCAGAATTAACTGTCATAAATAAAAAAGACTGCAAAGACAACTCGATGGTGTGTCACTCTGCAGTTATTTACTGAGACCCCGTCGGCTCTGGATGTGAGGCTAGAAGGTCCTTTGTGGAGCTCCAGTCCGGGTTTTGCAACAGTCACAATATTTTGGCTGGATATTGTCTTAGGAGGTGGTACTAGTGGGGTGGAATTCCCTCATGCAGGAGTTTGCACTGGATGCCTTTACAAAGCTGGATACTCTGGTAATAATAATAATAAAAAGCCCCTACCCGGTGGATGGGGATGGAGTCTACGGATTGAGACCAGGATTTATTAATGTGCAAATTGCTCTGATATGATCACATACTTTCTGCTTTGCATACGCAGGGAGCAGCGTGGGCTGATGGAGTAGGAACTAGCCTGAGCGATCTTTACGAGCTGAGATCCTGCACATCGCAGAAGGGTTTGTTTCTCTGCACAAAAGCCGGGACCCTGTAGAAACCTGCTTTAAAAAACAAGTGACTAAAATACTCAGATGCACCAGACTTCTTCATGGACTCGCCATGAATATATTTTTCATTTTTTTTGGCAGAAACCTGTGTGTAACTTTCTCTGGAGGAACCGAGGATTTTTGTAGTTGGTCTTCTAGTATTTTAAATCTGAGAACCCAGTAGAGTCTTTTCCGCAGTGATGAGGGAGTGACAAGTCGGAGGTAAGGGCTTCAGCATGCATGTTTGTGTCGATGGAGCTTTTGCAATGTGGGCTGCTAATGAGGAACGCGAGCCGTGTCAGCATCCGACTGCGGGTTTGCCTTGTGCGACGTGGATAATGAGCTCAGACAATGAGAGCTGTGAGAAATCACAGCGCGATCTGTGGGATCCACATCCCCCCACCCGAGGTGTGCAGGGGATCTGGGCTGCTGCATGTGTCCTCTGCCACTGTGCTACTTCCCATTCTGGGGAAGGGGACACAGAGAATTGGTCTGGATGCTGATCAGCTTGCTGGAGCCTGTTGTTGATCCTGGACTGGCTGCAGTGGATCCTGCAAGCCATGGTGCAGTGGATGGCCGTGCCCTGCTGCCCTCCCACTGATCCCAGAGACAGGGAAAACGGGGGGACGGGGCAGTTAAGCAGATGCTGTGTTCAGTACTGCTGTGGCTGTGCCTAACCCAGCCTCCCGCCAGGCACCCATGGGGGCATGGCAGGCACCCAAAGACCATGGGGTAAATATGTGCTCCTTGGGGTTTCGGATGCGGGATCAGTGGAGAAATAGTTAACAGGGATCATGGCAATAATTAGACATGGTGTGAACACCCAGTGCTTATGTGTGTGGGAAGTGCTGCTGGATCTGGCGCTGGCTGCCATGGGTCAGCGAGGGCTCCCGTGGCCGGGCTGGGACACAGGTCCCCAGCTGCAGGTCAAGGTGACACCTCCACATCAACAGAGCTGGGGTGCTGTGAGATGTGGGTGTGGGTGACCCTTGGGCTGCTGGAGAGTTTTATAGGCTCAGGCATGTATGTTCCCTTGAACAGCCCTGGGGACAGACAAGGGGTGTTCAGGTGATGCAGTTTGGGTTTGAAGAGGTGCCTTACAGCAAAAGGCATTAAAACATGGTAATACTGGGAGAATAAAATGCTGCATGACAAGGCAGGCATGGAGCCTCCACTCTCCTGCACCAGGGTCAGAAGGTACCCACGCAAAAAATCCTGTCACCTAAGTGTCTGTGAACTTGTGGCAGTGCTTACAGTCCTATTTGGGGTGGCCAGGTCTGTGCTGAGATCCCACAGGGACTGGGAATTGCACTGAACCATGTGCCTGGAGGGTTCTCCAGTTGGAATCATTTTGTCTGAAGTCCATCCATGACCCTGGAGCAGGTGAGCTCCTGACTCCATCCCTCATCCCCATTGTGGGGCCAGGGCAGCAGAGGCTGGGTGGGAGGATGGTGACAGCACTGCAGGTCTGGGAATGCCAGCGCTGTGACATGCCTGGAAACCACCCTGGAAAAAAGGCTCATTTCAGCTGGATCAGCTCCCTGGCCCTTGCACAGCCGCTGCAAGAGCAGCAGCACCACCCTGAGGGATGCAGCAGGGAGGAGCTGGGGTGCAGAGCACCCTCTCTGGAGGTGCAGGGCAGTGACCCCCTAAGCACAGCTGAAATGAGCTGGCCCTGCCAGTGCGTGCAGGCAAAGCAGAGCTGAGCATAAACCCCACGTTTCCATTACCTGAGCTAGATGTGAGCTGGCAAAGCTCTGACTGCACCGCAGGGCCAGGACTGCAATGAGCAACAGAGCTGGGGGCCAGGTCAGCCCCCCTGGCCTATGGGAACAGCCCCAGAGTGGACAAAGGGGACCATACAGCTGAGAGAAGTGGCACTGGCAGCAGAGACTTTTTCCCAGGGCAGTGTGAGGGCAATCTGTTGTCTTGCCAAGAACGGAAGTGCCTGTCTGCCTAAGACCTGGCAAATACAGACAGGCTTACAGTCATATCCACCACCAAACTGCCTCCAGGAGTACCCTCTGGGATTGCAGCTTCCCCACACACTCATGGGCAGCAGGGCAAGAGGGGTTGGCTGCAGGATGCCCTTCACTGCAAACCACCCTGAGCGCTGCCAAGCTTGCAGAGCTCAGAGCTCGGTCCCCCTATCCCAGCAGTGCAGGGTGCTGTCATCCAACAAAAAGGCAGAATTTGGATGTCCTCAGTCCAGGCTGGCAGCAGTGGCTAGTCTGGAGGACACCCTGGCTGCCCAATTGCTCCCTCCCGCCAGCCAAGTGCCTTGTCCTGCCCCATGCCCAGGCCTGAGGCTGCGGGTTATTTTTTCCAGTTTGTTTTCCTCTGCTGCTGGAGTTCATGCTACTCCTGGCTCTGCAGGGCTCGTGTTTCCCAGGCAGTGACGTTTCACTGGGAGAGCCAGAGCACCAGGAATCCCTGCAGGAAGCTCCATTTGGCAGATGGTTCCTGTGCACATGGCCAAGCAGAAAGCCCCAGGTGCTGCTCAGGGCTTTGCCCTGGGCTTTGGGCTTTGGCTCTGCCTTTGCCTGGAGAAGCAGATCAGCACAGGGCCTATGGCTCACCAGGCTCCTTCCAACCTGGAAATCTGCATTTACAAAGTCAGCATTCAGGGTCAGTGGTGGAAGGAGCCCCAAGCACTTGTCTGGACACATTTACATCGAAATAAGAGGGGAATTGGGTATTAAGTTGAATGTGTGCACTTGTGTAGGAGGAGCCTCAGCAACCCTGGCTGTGCTTCTGGTTTGCCTCAGAGCGCCCTGTTCCTCATGCCTGTGGGGTCTCTGCGAGCAGGGCTGTACCTGATGCAATGTGTGTCCATCCCGCACAACCTGGGGCACCTGCTGAGCACGTTCCTGCTCAGCAATGGATCCTTGGAGGTGCTGGGGAGCCCTTTTGGGGGAAGAGCGAGGTTTTCAGTGCTGTGGACTGTGCTGCCCCAAACTGTGTTGTTCTGAGTTTCCTGGTCTGAAATTTGCTTTGGTTCTGCTGTTCTAATGCCTTTTGTTGGCATTTGGTGAGTTATTGGTCTGTAGGAGGCTCAAACCCACCTGAGCTGTACCTAATAGACACAGGTTTGCTTTTCCCATGACTTTAGCCAGACCACCAGGCAGCGTCCCAGTTGTATTACAGAGCTGTGTTTGCTGGGACAACTCCAGTGCAGTTCCAGATGCTGCTCTGGTTCTGTGGAGAAGCAGCAGTCGTGGATAATGCAGCTTGCCTCAGGGCTCTGCCTCCTCCTCCTCCAGAGTGTGCCTCCTCGGTGCTGGTATGAGGGCCATGGAAATCCCCCTGTAAAACATTTCCTGATGTTTTACAGCGCCGACTGACAAGCACTCCTGGAGGGAGGCCTGCAGCACCATGGATCACAGGGTTACTTGGAGCAGCTACTGTGACAGGCACCATGTGAGGCAAGCAAGGAGCCAGTGCTGAGCCAGGGCTGGAGCTGGGGGCTGGAGCTGGGGACCGGGGTGCTGCTGCCCACCGGGACAGCTCCCACTGCCAGGCCAGGGCAGAGGGGCAGCCGCAAGCAGCGGCCTCTCCTCAGCGTATTTCCCATCAGCGGGGCACAGCACGGCTCCGCAGATCCGGGGAATGCAGCGCAGGAGCTGGTGGAAGGAGTCAGACCTCAACAATGCTGTGGAGAGCTCTGCTGCCAGATTGGGCTTTATTATTTTATTTTTTCAGTGAAGTTTATGGGTTGGGGATTTTGCAGAACTTGGCACTGGGATCTAATATCAAATAAAGACCTTCTGGTTCGGAAATTTGACTTAATGCAGCCGTCTTTTATTGCTTCAAGGATTAAGCAGAACAAAGTGGCTCTGCCTGTGCATGTGCAGGGGCATTTGCCAGAGGTGTGTGAGACACCCTGTGGCAGCTGTGACGGCTGAGAAAAGCGTGGTGGGACCTTCCTCCATGGAGAGTTTCACAGCACTGCTACTGTAGCATTAGTTATGCCAGCAGGAAAACCGCTCTCGGAAATGCAGAGAGAGAGGGGGACTTTCACAAAGAGAACCAGGGCCCAAACGCTCTTGCTGCAGGCCCAGCTGCCGCTCTCCCATGGTCAGGCTGGTGGAGCAGGCAGGGAGCTCTGCCATGGGGTCACCAGTGCAGGCACAGCAGGCACCAGGCTGGGAAGCACCAGCACTGGGAGCACATCCCTGTGTGCCTGTAGAACAGGGACAATGGTGCTGCCTCTGATACCCGGGTGCCATCACTGGTATTTGAGGGGCTTGTTGAAAGTTCCACAAAGGCAGGCTGGGGAATGCGCTGGTAATGTGAAGATGGACTCTGCCCTGGGGTTGGGAGGGCTCAGGCTGAACTGTTCTGGGACCAAACTAAACCAAGTGAGACCCATTGAAACTGTGACTCCTGCAGGAAACCTGTTCCGGCATATTCACACTCCTTGCTGACTACCAAGGGGAAATTCAAATACCCTGTCCAGCCCTGGGACCTGTAAAACCCAAATTCTCCCCATCACAGCCGGTGCCCAGCTGTCTGTTGGCAGTGACCTGGCAGTTCCCAGGGGTTGGTTCCTGCTGCTATTGTAATCGGCCTTGTCCTGCCTCCAGCATCTGGTCCTTCTCTCCCAGGCTCAGTAAGCCTTTGGAGAGCCCGTTTACATTACGGACCCCTGGTACATTCAGAAAGAGGCAATATATCAGCAATTTAGTTATTGCGGATTAGGTCTTGAATATCCTGGGGATATAATGTTGGTCTTTCTCACCTTGTGTGTAGGAGGACTAATGGCAAATTATCTGGATGGTTTATATTTTCTGGTTTGTACTGGAGCTCCCAAGGACCAATTTATCCTGATTGAATTGCAAACAAGGCTTAGTGCCATCTCAGGCTCAGGGGCCAGGTCTCTCCATAAACGAATTCAGAGCAATTCAGGTTACCCCAAATTCTTCCTGTCGATGGGATAATGGCATAAATCCTGCTAATGTTTAGACTGGAAATTGTTTGCAGCAACCTGAGCTTGACTGATGGATGGAATAACAGAAAGAATCATAATTCGTGTCCTGAGGTGAAGGTAGGAAGAGCTTGCAGCCTGATCCTTCTGCTGCAGCCCCCTCCGGTGGGCTCACCGCAGACCCTGAGTGCTCAAGGAGGAGATTTGGAAACCTGTGGATCGCGTGTGACCCGCTGTGGCATTGGCTCTGCAGCACCCAGGATGCCAGTGGCCTCTCTGTGATAAGTGGGCAGTTGTGGTCAAGCTCAGGCTCTCTTCAGGCTAGAAGGCAAGGACACAAAGAGGAAAAAGTGTGCTGGGCTTGTCTGATTTGTGTTGTGGCCTCAAGATTTCCCATGGCACTTCCCCGCCGTGGCACTGCACAGGCCCTCAGAGATGGGGTATGTGGCGGTGGCACAAGCTTCACACTGGCTCTTGGCGCACTGGGGCTGTGTTTGCACTCTCCGGACATCCATCCCTGCTGCTGTCCTCATGCTGGGGGACTGTGCCCAAACTGTGAGTGTTTTGTAAACACACCGTGTGTTTCCTGCGAACGTGTTTCACCGGCAAAGCTGCCGTAATTAAAACCGAGGGCAGGCAGAGCAGGTGGTGGCACCGTGCTCCCTCCAGAGCCGCTGGCGCTCAGTGCTTATTTGGGGAGAGTTTGGGCCGTGCTGTCCTGACGTGCCTGCTCACAGCAGCTCGTGTCCCCAGGCTCCTCTGGCCGTGCCGTGCATTGCCGTACCGTGCCACGCCACCGGTCTGGAGGGTTTGTCCTGACTGGCTGCCCCCACCTCACAGGTGTGTCCTGCACCATGTCCAGGTCGCTGCACAAGGTGTGGAGGGGCTGCAGGGCTAGAGGGATCCCCACTCTGCACAGCTCTCTGCTCCCTAAACCCTCCCACAGTTCGGCTTAAGCACTTGACAGTGTTTATAAAGCAGCTTGCAGCAAACAGGCTTGGAAGTGCAGAACAAGTTGGTGTTTACACAAGTGACTAATTATTTATTTGAAAATCCTGTGGAAGAGCCGTGAGCTGTAACGACAAGCACATGGGGAGTGCTGGGCTCCTGCCCCAGCAGCCACAGCAGGGACACGGTGAAAAGTTCAGAGCCACCGGGCTGTGGGGACAGTGGCAATGCCCCACAGCACCCAGTGGCCTCCAGCCTCGCCAGTACAGGTGAGCCAGTGCTGCTGGGAGGTGCTCAAACCGGGCACAGCTCAGCACTGTGGTGTGTGCTGCGCAAGGTCCTGTGGTACCGGGTCACACATCCCTGAAGCAGCTGCCTCGAGGTGCTGCCAGCCCACACCTGCTGCTGGGGCAGCAGCCTCCTTTCAGATGTTCTTCTGCCGTAGCCATAACCCACCTCAGGGGGCCGGAGCAGGGAGGCTGCTTGGGCCAGGGGCCTTTCAGACTATCCCCCAACCCAGGGTGAGTAAGGGAGAAGACAGGCTGCCCAGGGCCCGTGTCCATCCCAGGCTGCAGCCAGGCTCCCTTCCAGCACCATTGCCACCAGTCATTTGGGGCATCGGTGATTGTGCAGTTATTATAAAGGGATTAAAACAATTTTCTGTTTCATTTGACTTCACAGAGTGAATGTTGTTGCCTTTATTCTCACACAATGGCTGCCGTTGGCGGGGCTTTGCTCTGCCAGCTGCAGAGAGGAGCTGGACCCTGCCCAGCTGTGCCAGAGCTCTTGGTGCAGCCTGAAGTTCACCCTTCCTGCACACCAGGCACAGGGCACAGGGAAAAACACCTGAAAACCATGTGGAAAACGCCCCTGGCCAGCAGCCAGGCAAAGCAAGGGCTTGGACATTCCCAGGCAAGAACAGGGCACGTGGAGTCCTGGGTACTGGCATCTGCCCTCTGCCTGGGCTTCCCTTGGCTCTCCAGAAGTTCATGAGGAGCAATTGGTTTGCTGCCCACACTGTCCTGTTGGTATTGCCGTCCTGTCCCCCTGTCCTGCCACACGCTCACCGTGGTTGGCAAGGGCAGCGCGGCACTCACAGTGGGGCCGTGGGACACAGCGAGCCTGGGCAGAGCAGCTCCTCCTGACCCTGCCCTGTGCTCCAGGGAACGGGAGCTGGGAGGTTTGGAAATTCCCTTGGAGCAGAAACACGGCATTTTAGGCAGCTCATGAAGGATCCCACCCCGTCCCCAGACAGCCCCTGCCCCTGCTGGGGATTGCAGGCTCGCTCTTCAGCTCGACTACCAGCCCCAGAGGTGCCCACTTGATGGGAAACATCTTGTGTGCTTGGCACCCGCAGCGGCCATCTGCCACTCAGGGAGGGCGGCCCAGGGGTCTGGCTCTGTTTGAAACAAGTTCCAGCTATAACTGTTTGCAGCACTGGCAGATGGCAAAGCTGCATTGAGCATTTTGATGGGTGCTCAATATTAGCAAGAGGGACCTGTGGATGAGGCTGGAGTGCAGCTCTCCCCACGCTGCTCGGGGTGACACCAGCACCCCCAGTTCACCCCACACCCCCTGTACTCGCCCCCAGCCACCATGGGAGTGATGCTGGCAACTGAGTTAATCTATTGTCCTCTTCCTTTGCAGTTTCTATCAGTGCACCTGGAAACTGTGAGCAGCTAACGCCTGCTGCTGAGCCCCCAATGGGATTAAGGCCAAACTCCTGCACTCCTCACAGGGATGAAGGTAGAGCCATGTTACCTGCTACCTAAGCTCACTGCTGCTGATGTGGTTTGTGGATATGGTCCCAGACCAGGCTCCGTGCACAGACTCTCAGCTCTGATCCCACCTGAGACGTTTTAGCGGCAGCAGAGACCCCAGCTGTGGAGTGGGCTCCCCCGACCACCCTGTGACAGAGGGCCTGCAGCGCTGGAGAGTTACTATGCAGCTTGGACTGCTTGTGGTGGTGGTTTTTCTAAGCTCGATGGATCTAACAGGCAGCAGCAAAGTGGTGAAGGGCAAGAGGCAAAGACGAAGTATGTATGAAACGCTTTTCTTCTCTCCTTCCTCTCGTGATGCCGGGTGGGTCATGCAGGTGTGAATGTGTTCACAGCACAGACAGATGTGCAGGGTCTGCCATCCCCTGGGAGCCTTGGAGCTCCCCCAGTCCCACTGCTGGGCAGAGACACACGGGACCCTGTCCCTCTGGACCTGCCACAGCCCCGAGGTCACGGAGGGGTCAGTTATCCCCCCTGCCCGGAGGGTCCCTGGCCAGAGCTCATGTGCAGCAGCCAGGCAGAATTGGCACAAGAGCAATCACAAGCGTTTGCCCTCTTTTATGTAAGCTCACGTTAGAACTGTTTTACATTAAAACTGTTTTAAATTAAATTATATAACATTGATTTGATATTAAAACTGGGACTGCTTAGCCCTGGGAGAACAAGGAAAACCTGACATCATGGCTAATGCTATAAAGGGTAATTTCCAGCAAGGGCTTAGTTTATACCTTTGCCATGGATGCAGAGCTTGGTGCCACAGCTCAGTGCTGCAGGAGGGATGGGGTCACATCGCCCAGAGATCCCTGCATACAGGGGCCAGGGCATCCAGTGCCAAGTGGCATCCAGACCCAGTGAACCCTCCTGGCAGCCGAGGGCTGGGGTCTTTGGGATCCCCACTGGGGACCTCCCTGCTTTCAGTGTCACTTCTGCAGGCTGTGGCAGCCCCCACACCCACAGACCTGGCGATGGGACTGGGGCAGGCATGGGGGCTGCCAGGCTCTCAGGTCACAGCGAGGGGACAGGGGAGTTCTCTTACCTCTCCTCCTGGCACATGAACCCTGCGCTGCTCTGCGCTTGTTTTTGAAGTGTAGTAAACAAGGTATTTAAAAGAACACATCTTTTAAATACACAGCTTTTCTATAAACAAGGACATGGCTTGCATAATAAACTAATAAAAATAACCTGCATTCTAGCCTGTAGAGAATGCGATTGGTTTCAAAACAACCAGCATTTTACATGATAATTAAAAGCAGAAAACTCTCAAGACATGGGACTGAGTATTTTTCTTGGACTGAACATAGGAGCTGAGAACACATCTCTCTTTTGGGGGCAGTAACATCTCCTGACTGCCAGAGAGATTTTAACATAGGCAGGGTCAGAGCGAGCTCCAGCCTGGGATGCGGCATAGATGGAATCAGTCAAATGGTTTCGCTCAAGGGCCATGTGCTCTGGTCCCCACTGGTCCTCTATGTGAAGGCACCGCCAGCTCCAAGCGGGGAGACAGCAGGAGGTGCTGGATCCCTGGGCACGTGCCCATCGTGAGTGTCTGCCCCACGCAGGTGTCAGGACTGATGGGCAGGGCTGGGAGGCAGTAAGAGGGACAGTGCTGGGGCTCTGGGTACAGCTGGTGGCTGCTTCTGGGTCCTGCTCCTCACCACTGCCACTGTCGAGACTGTGTGCTCCAAGCAGCACTGGTGCCTGTGGGCACTGGGCACGAGGCTCTGGTGCCCAGCCAGAGCGGTGCTGGGAGCGTGTCAGTGCTGCAGGACCCCAGCCCTCACTCTGCCTCACTTTCTCCCCTTCCTGCCCGTAGTGCTGGTGGTTTGGGGTTGCAGCTGGTGCCTGCAGAGCCTGGCACTAACCACCGCCTCTCTCCTGCTCTTCCAGTCAGCACCGAGCTGAGTCAGGGCTGTGCCAGAGGCTGCGACCTGTGCTCCGAGTTCAATGGGTGCCTGAGGTGTTCCCCCAAACTCTTCATCCTTCTGGAGAGGAACGATATCCGACAAATTGGGATCTGCCTGCCTTCTTGTCCACTGGGATACTTTGGCCTTCGCAATACAGACATGAACAAGTGCATCAGTGAGTGTGAGGGTGGGAGGGAATGGGCACGGGAGGGTGGCAGGACTTTGCAGGGCATTGTGCGCCTTCACTCGTGTGAGGGGAGGGGCTGTGACTGTATGGAAGGGGAGAGCATTGCTGAGCAGGGCAGCCACCTGCCCTGGCAATAACCCCGCTCAGCACCACGTAGGCACACTGTGGGCACGGGGTCTTGCAGGACATTTGGGCAGCTCTGTTACCTGGGTTGTCAGACTGGCACCCTTTCCCTCTGGGAGGAGGGAGATCCTTTCAGCCATTTAGGTACTGCTCAGACAAGTGCCTTTTCTCCTCCCCTCCTGCTCATGACAGCCAGGCAGCTCTGAGCGAGATCACTGGCCTGTGGCTGCCTCCTGCAACCAGAGCACCAGAAAGAGCTGGACATGGAAACATGCGATCACTCTTCTGGCAGTTCTGTGCACAGCATCCTCCTGGCAAGGTTTCCATCTAACTCCCTTTCCATGCAGCCTGTCCTGTAGCTGCAGCTGTTGATCTAGGACTTTGCACTGTCCCCTTCAGCTGGATGATGATCAGCTGAATGCCAGCCCAAAACTTCCCCCCCTGCCTGATTCTGCCCTGGCAGCAGCTGCTGTGGGCCATGAGAGCTGCAGCACAGGGCTGTCCTGTACAGGGAATGGTGCAAAGAAATCTGACTTGTAAGTGGCACAGTCAGGCCTGACAGGATGCTCAGAGATTTCTCAGAGACGTGCCCTGCTGCTGGAAAATCCCTGGGAGCCAAGACTGAGCTCCTGTTGGCAGTGTGGAGCTTATTGTGTCTTTTGCTCACATCAGATTACATGATGGCTTTGGTGTTTTTTTCCCCAGAATGCAAAATTGAGAACTGTGAGTCCTGTTTCAGTCGAAATTTTTGCACAAAATGTAAGGAAGGTTTGTATTTGCACAAAGGGAGATGCTACATCACGTGCCCCGAAGGCTACGCTGCTGCCAACGGCACCATGGAGTGCAGCAGTCCTGGTAAGTGGCCTCGTGCCCAGCTCTGTGCCCGCCTGCTGTGCCTGGCTGTGGGTGGGGGTGACGGCACCGCCAGACCCAGCTGGGACAGAGCCCTCTGGGGACCAGCCTGGATGGAGAGCAGCCCCTAGGGTTTGTGAACTGTGACCCAGAGTTGGTGTGGTGCAGTAAGGAAGGGGGTGCTCAGGAATTTAGGAAGCTGCTGGGGAAACACACGTTCCCTTCCAGCCTAAGGTGGGGAGAGATGCTATGTTGTGAAAAGGCTCTGGGACGGCCTGAGGGAGCAATCCAGGAATGGGAGTTACTGCTGGGCTCTCTTGTTATCTGGCAGCACAATGTGAAATGAGTGAGTGGGGGCCCTGGGGGCCCTGCTCCAAGAAGAGGAAGCTCTGTGGCTTCAAGAAGGGCAATGAAGACCGAACACGGCGGATCCTGCAGGCTCCCTCTGGAGACGTGTCCCTGTGTCCACCCACCACCGAGGTGCGGAGGTGCACTGTGCAGAAGAGCCAGTGCCCCGAAGGTGAGCACAGGTGGATTAACCAGCGGGGCAGGGGGAGGTGGACACGGCCAATCCATTCCCTCATGGCTCGTTCCACCGGAGAGCCTCACGCTGCCTCTTTGCTTTACTGCAGGGAAAAGGAAGAAAAAGGAAGAGCAAGGAAAGCAAGATAATGGAAATAGAAATCGGAAAGACACCAAAGACACTAAGTCTGGCACCAAGAAGAGGAAGAGCAAACAGAGAGGGCCCACGGTGGCCGTGACACCTGCCAGCCCTGCCCAGTAGCTGGCCCTGTGTGTCACCTGATGGCAAGACTCCATTGCTGCTATGTGTATGAAAGCTTTACTGAACAGAGCACTGCTACACCACACCCACACGTGTCCAGACAGACATATACTCCAGACTGATCCAGAGACCAACAGAGGCCACACACACAATACTTCAGGAGGCTGCACCCACCCCTGGCCCGGGACCAGAGAAGGACACTGCCAAGGAGTGGAAGCTGCCGAGGAGTGGAAGCGCACACAGAGAGGGGAAGCCCACGGCCCCAGGGCTCTGCTGCAGGCAGGAGAGGTGGAGGATGAGCCAGCAAAGGACACAGATGTGAGATTTCATGACCAAAGGCCTCAACTGGAGCCTGAGTGAGTGGCCCCACACAGCTCCAGTGCAGCCCCACAGAGCCAGGGGATGACTGGACTCAAACGGCCACTTGCCCCAACCCGGGACCCAGACATACATGGCAGTGGCCTCTTTCTCTTCCCCATACCCTTCATTTTGTGTTTTAAGCTGTATGACTTTATCATTGCGAATACATGTTAAAAGTTTGTGATAAGAGGTCAGTGGTATCTGCCCCGAATCTGCTTCAAATAATTATTTCAAATTAAAAAAAAAACAACCAACAAAAAAAAAGACAACCAGCTTCCTGAGTATGTGGTTCATACCTTGGCCCCTATGGAGGCTGGTGTCCCACAGGACAGAGACTCACTTGTGGAAGGGAAACTCACCAAAGCTTTAAGAAAATCCCAGAGAATTCTGTCAGCTGCACTGCAGCCACAAACCAGCTGTCCTGAGCAAAGGACCCCAGCTGTGCCCCGCCAAGCCCTGAGGAATTCCCTTATGAAGGATCCAGTTAACACACAGCAGATTGAGAAAATGAGAGGTTACAACGTACCACAGGTTGCCAAAACATTGTGGCTCCACTCGGGCAGTCACAGCTGTGGGACTGTCGTGGGCTGGGGACACACTGGTCCAGCTACTGGACACCACCCCAGCACATGGCAGGAGGGAGGCAGGCAGGAGGGGAAGGCACAGCTCAGGTTCTGCAGAAGAGAAATAAATTTTTAAGTTGGGTAGAAACAACTTGTCTGCATACCACCAGCTGGAATTCTCTGGATTCTCCTGCTCTGCACAAGCTGACATCTGGACAGAGGAACCAGGACAAGGACTGTGCAGAACAGGCTGCATAGGGTGCATGGGGATGCTGTCAGCTCTGTACAGGGAGTTCTACCTTTGGTGGTGTCACAAAGTGCCACATTGCTCACTGCCTCGTATTTTAAAATGTGCTTCCTCTGTATAATTATGTGGAGACACATTTAATTCCTCCAGAGTTCAGCAGAAGCCCTCTGGTCCTGAGGGATGGAGTTGGGGAGATTCTTGGCTCCCAGAGATGTGCCCTGGGTGGATCAGGGACATGGTGCTGGAGCTCCAGCTCTCCTGGGAGGGTGATGGACAGGGGAAAGCTCACCCTAAACTAAACCTGGTGAATCCTGGCTGCTCTCACTTCCGTACCTCCCTCTGCTCTGTGGTTTTGGAGGGCAGAGCGAGCCAGCGGGAGTGTGGGGACACCTGTGGAAGAGCCCCCATCTCTCTGAGGGGTCACCTGCCCACACCTGCAGCCCTGGTTCTCTCCTGCAGCTCATGGCTCTGCCGAGGACAAGGACACCCCAACTCCCTTCCCCGCCGCCCCGGGGCTGGCTTGGCTCGCTGCAGGCTGTGGGGCTGCACAGTTGTTTCACCTCCGGAGCTGTACCAAGCTGTCCGTGACTGCTCTGCTGGCAGAAAACCTTTCAGCCCATCATCCACTTTGTGTTTAAGTAAACAAGAAGCTGTTACATCTTTGAAAGGGGATTCCATTTCAGCACAATGATAAACGACCAGCATACCAAGCAGGGAGAGAAAGAGGTTCTTAAAAGTCATGCTTTGAATTGTTTATGGATCATGTTCAGATGACTCCTGAAAGCCTCCCAGCTCAAAGATCCAATCTCATCCTATTTTCTAGCCTGTGAGAGAAGTATTTTGTTTGTGCCACAGTGTTGCCTGTAAGCAGAACCATTTTCCCTTCTGCTTTCAGCAGCACCCACCAGTCACCCACTGGTGAACCTCAGCTCACCCACCTCCCTCCTGCTGCTGTATCTCCATCCAGTTCTCAGCGAGGATTAGGGAAAAGAGGGGGTGCACTAGGAAGATTTTCTACATGAGGCTCTGTTAATGACTCGATTCCCTGCAGTAACTCCTGGCACTATTAGCACAACTGTTTCAAAACTAAACTGCGTATAATAAATCAACAGAACCTACTTTAGAGAACTCTAGAGATTTTTAGAAAAACTGTCAAACTTCTTTCTGTTGTAGCCTCTTCCCTCCTTTCTTCCTTTTTCACAGCAAAATGGGAAGAAAAAGGGACAAAGACAACAGAAAGTTTAAAATGCATACTAAGAATATCTGAGATTTTTTCAGTATGAGTAATTTTAAAATTAAATTGGTTTAGAACAATTAGGAGAAAAAATATAAGAAAGAAGTCAATTTTTTTTTTTTAATCAACTCAAGAACTGTGCTTATTCCCACTCCCAGAGAGCAGGTTTAGTTATGAATTTAGGAACATTATGCCTTTGATCAATGTGAACTGCATGCTGAGCTCCCCAGTCCAAGCTGAGATGTCCTTAGCAAGGTGATGTCACCTCAGCTCACACACGCACGTGAGCGCTCTCTTTCCGCCCACCAAATAACCCTGCTGTGGTGTTCTCTCCATGGCATCACTGTAAAATACACGTGTTTAAGCAAATAAATCATTAAATGGGTTTGCTGAAGCAGCTTAATTTGTTTATTCACCAAAATTTGAGTCAAATCCCAAATAACCAAAAATGTCCACAGACAGAGCAAGCCTCTCCTGAGAGCCATCTGTCTACATCCAGGAGCCAAAGGAGTCGACACAGATCAATGATGGGAACACCACTGCTCTGACTCCTGTGCTATTCCCACCCTGTGCTTTGACCGGCTCGATGCTGAACTGGAGAAGCAGCTGCTGGATGGACAGACAGACAGACAGACAGACAGATCCTTTGTCGGGAACTCTGCTGCACAGGAAACATCATTATTTTCCCTGCTGAGCAACCTGCTGTTGTTCTCTGGACAGAATTCCACTCAGAATCTGCAGGACTGTTTCTAGGCAGTTTCCTCAGCCTTTGCCCATGCCATGGGGGACAAAGGGCCAGGAACAATGAACAGCTTACAGTTGTGGGTTTGAAACTGTTCGATTTCTCTCTCGTTTGCTGAAATTTAGAAGCTAAAGCAGATGAATGTCACCAAACACAGGTTGGTTCTATCCTGTTCTTACCTTCTCTGAGTAATTTAAACCTGTATTTTTCGTCAGATACAGTCAATGAACTGTGTGCACACACACTCCTGATGCAGTAATTCACTGGCTTTCCACCCCAGGGAGGTAGGGGCAATGTATATACTGCTTAGCCCATGTTTATGTTAAAATGGTTTCTCACTCAGAAGAAATCTTAGCTTTGATTAAAGGAAACAGAGTAGAATAGTGAAACAGGTTATCTCCAACACTGTTGTTTGGATTACATTGTCTGAGAACACTAAAAGGGATAGCCCAGATATATTTACAGATTTATTAAGTCAATAGCCTTCACAGAGAGAGTGAGAGAGAGATGTTAGGCATCATGCTTAAAAAAATCTCTATTAAAATTACAGAAATACCAGTGTATTTAACCAGTCACCATAAATAAATCACCCTGATGGCCTTTATGTACACAGTAATACATCACACCCAACTGAATGCCAAACCATAGTTTAGATGGAGCTTCTTGCTGGAATACCCATGATTTTTGAAGAGCAGTAGGATCTTAGAAAAAAAAGAGGCAGTCAGGTAGGTTGTGTTGTTATTTACAGCCCGAGGTGAAGTGCCAGGTTAGAGGCACTGACAGGGCTGCTCAAGGCCATGGCCCCTCTTGTGCCCCACGGGAGCCCAGCCTGACAGGGAAGAAGTTCCTTTTCAGCACAGGTAAAATCAAACACTACAGGAAAACATTTACATGTAACTGCTTTAGCCCTCAGAGCAGTGGTGAACTCCAAGTCTCCATTCCCAGAGTGAAGCCGAGAGCTCTGCAGAACGGGCACAGCTCTGATACCCCAAGCTCCGAGGGCTCAATCCTGCTGGGCACAGCTCAGCCTGGGCTCTCAAAGTCCTCTTACACCTTTTGGCCTTTTTTCTTGACTTGGGTTTTCTCCTCCCTCCTCACTTCCCGCTGCTTCCAGTCCCCGTTTTGGGAACAGTCTGGGATCACTTGGGTTTTTCGTTCAGGAGCCATCAAACCTGGAGCCTTCTGCCGGGTAGCCCTGCCTCCTGCTCCTGTCAGCTGTATCCCTGGAAAGCTATTCCTTGGGAACTGAGCTGGGAAAGCTGCTGTGCTGATAAACCACCTATGGTGTCTTCTGGTTGTGATTTTGAAGACGAGCTACAAAGGCCACTCGAGTCCTCGTGCTCTGCTGGGAATTGCTGCAATAGAGTCAGATGGCTGATGCTGCTTTATCCTGTTAGATAAAACAGGAGCTCGATACCACACTGAAAAAGAGCTCTGAATACAAGTCCAGTCTTGTTCTGAACTCTTGGAAATCTACTCTTCCTTCATTTAATTGACAAAATGTGTAGATCATACAAGGAAGACAGCCCCTGCCAAAAATCCAACATCACTAGTTTTTAATAATACAATGGGAATAACCCCTCAGAACATATGTAATTATGGGAATGAGTCATTCCAATGGCATCATGTAACCCCATTCCCTGGGATTTGACAGGGATGAGGCCACATAAAACTCGAGATGATTTCATTTCAGCCCTGGTCAGGGCAGCAGTGCCAAGGAGCTGAGGCCGTGGGGCAGAGCCAGTGGGCACCGAGCTCCAACCTCGCTGTCCCGCCTGGTCCCGCTGCACCCAATGGACAGGGACAAGAAAAAATTAAAGATCCAAAGGGGAAGAGATGCCTCAATAGCAGAGGAAAAGCTGTGAGTCTTAGAGCAACAAAAGATCCATTTAGAGGAGCAATATCCGAGCGGTGCGCTATCAGATACACAATAAACAGCTGCAGCCGCAGGGATGCTGCGAGTTAAACACCAACTGCTGGCCCCAGCGAGGGGATTTGGGTCAGGGAGCATGGGAGAACAAGGAGAGCACAGCAGAAAGGATGAGTTGGTGCCAGTCTGAATGCAGGTCCCACACGTGATCAGTAGGGACAGAAAACCTCGTCCACAGCCCGTTCCAACGGGGACACGCTGTGAGCACAGCCAGGGACAGGGGCTGAGCCCTGACTGCCAGTGCTTCCAGCCTGGGAATTCAGCACCCAGCTCTGAGGCATCCCCAAGACAAGTTCTCCACACCACAACCTCCTGCCCAAAGCTGGCTGGGTCTGCTCTCTCACAGAAGGAGACAGTGACTTTCTGGCTGCACCCCAAGATCTCCTGCTAACAATAAAGAAGGAGTTTTCTTAAGGGAAAGGAAGAAAGAGTGGGGGAGAGCAGAGCAAGTATTACTCAACTATTTAGTCTAAAATTTTGAAAATCAAAAGGATCTTCTGACAGATTGATATCAACTCTAATAGAAAACACACTTGTCCCGGGAAAAGTCTCCTACATGAGCCTCGAGTCTGATAGCTTAAACAATTATCTACAATTTGGAATTGATTTTTATGCCCACATCAGTGTGTACTTTTTCAATGCCCAAGGCACAGATAATTCTATTAAGAGAAAAACCAGAACTTGTAGGCTTAAGCCAAACAGCCTCTAAACTCCAGACTCCATCTTACAAAACATCTCTCAGGCCTGACTCATCAGGGCTCCCTTGCACAGCAGGGACTCTGCACCTCACAGCAAAACGCTGAAAATCATTAGAAGAACAAAACCCCAGCAGCTCTGTTATTGTTCTGGGTTTAAAGGAGCATTAGCAGCACCAGAAGGATGTTGCACTGGCCAGGAATGCTCCGCTGCTAATAAGTGTTTAGGAAGGATAGGCCAGGTCTGTGTTTTGGGGAAGGATTTCCCAAGGTGCTGAGCTTGGCCCCGGCCCAGGCTCTGGTATCAATTAACACCATTTCAGTGCAGCTTTGTTCATTTCCCCTAGGTGAGGAGCTTTCAGGCTGCTATTAAAATCTGGCAGTAACACAAACGTAGGCTTAGGCTTTAGACATAGAATTTGCCTAAATTTGATTTGTTACTGCACTGTCCATGCAATTCTTTATACACACATAAAAACACCAGTGTTGTTATTTCCAATTTTTTATTTTTTTTTGCCAGTAACCCAGAAGGAACAGCCCCGTGTGCCTGTAAACACCCACCAGTACTGCCCTGTGCACAGGTCTCTGCCACACCAGTGCCCCACCAACTGCCCCAGTGCTCTCCAGCAGTCCCAGTGCCCCTCCAGCAGTCCCAGTTCCCCAGCAGCAGCCCCAAGTCCTCTCCAGCTGCCCCCATTCATCAGCGGATGGCGAGGAGCGCTGCTGCCGCGCTCCCAAACGATTCCCATTCTGCGTCCATGAACAAACATTCCCAAACAATGGGGGCCCCCGTGCCAGCGGCCCCGCCCGCCCTGAGAACCGCCCCGCGGTCCCGAGCGGGACTCGGCCAGACCGCAGCGCCCCGGGCCGGGCACAGGGGCGTCCCGCCGCCCCCCGGGGGCCGGAGCCCTCCCGGAGACGGAGGGGACACGGGGGACAGGGGACAGGGGGGACAGGGGGACACCGGGGGACAGGGGACACGGGAGGGACAGGGGGACACAGGGGGGACAAGGGAGGGACACGGGGGACAAGGAGGGACACGGGAGGACAGGGGACACAGGGGGACAAGGGAGGGACACGGAGGGACAGGGGGACACGGGAGGGACAAGGAGGGACACGGGGGACAAGGGAGGGACACGGGAGGGACAGGGGGACACGGAGGACACGGGAGAGACACGGAGGGACACGGGAGGGACAGGGGAGGGACAAGGGAGGGACACGGGAGGGACAAGGGAGGGACACGGGAGGGACAGGGGGACACGGGGGGGGGGTCCCGGGGCCCACGCGTTGCCATGGCGACCGGACGCGCACGTGGCTGCCCGGAGACGCCGGTGCGCCTGCGCCGCCTCGCGGGGCCTCCCGGAAGTGAGTCAGGCGCACCGGAAGTGCTGTGCGCGTGTCCGCGGCCCGGCTCGAGCGCTCCGGACACGGGGAAGGAACCGTGGGACCGACCGGGACTGACCGGGACTGACCGGGACACCGGGACACCGGGACCGACAGGGACCCACAGGGACACCGGCACCGCCGCCATGGTGAAGCCGCAGTACAAGGGCCGCTGCTCCATCAACCCCTCCCGCGCCAGCACCAACCCCGGTACGGGCCGGGCCGGGCCAGGGCGGAACGGGGCGGGACGGGCAGGGCCAGGACTGACTCTCTCTTGTCTCTGCAGATCGAGTCGGGGGCGCGGGGGGGAACAACATGCGGGACCGAGCGACCATCCGGCGCCTCAACATGTACCGGCAGAAGGAGCGCAGGTGGGCACGGGCGGGACGGCTCGGTGTGGGAGCGCTCTTGGCTGTGGGACCGGGAGCCTGACGCTGACTCTGGGACTCTGGAGCCTCAGCCTGAGCCTGACCCCAAGCCTGGAGCAGAGCTCCAAGCAGCCCAGCCACGCCCCAGAGGTGCAGCTGGAAAAGGCGCTGCAGAACAGCTGAACGTGTCCCTGAAATGTCATGAGCCCCAAACGCACCCAGAATTCCCAGATTTCACACAGCACAGCAGCATAGCTCAAAAGCTGCTTCCTAAGTGCCTGAAGAGCCTGACTCCCCCTGGCTCCTGCATGGAGGGATCTCCTGAGGGGATCCCCCTGTGCCCCACTCAGGGATCAGGCTGGGGAGCAGCTCCCACCGTGTCTGTGCTAGCGGGGGCTCTGGGAGTCCTGGCTCACATCAGTTCTGGATTGTTTTGCCCCATTTCCTGCTGCCTGGGGAGCAGATGAGGGGGAGGGATTTTGAAATGTTGCTGAACTTAAAGCAGGTCTGAGCTTGGGAATGCTGTGCTGATGAGTGCCCTGCAGAGCTGGTTAAAAGGCTCCAGGGAGAACTGAGTGGGGTTTGATAGAAAATGGTTCTTGATGCCTTTTGCAACCCCAGGAGCCCTCCCTGTGCTGACCCAGACAGCTGCAGGGAGGGTTTGGCCAGGCTGGAGGGAGAGCCAGGGCTGTGAGTGCCACTGCTGCTGTCAGGGCTGGATTAACTCACCTGCAAAGGCCACAGAACACTCTGAGCACTGGCTGTGGGTAAAGGGTCTCCCTGGATTTCGTGGTGTGCTCCTGGCCTGGTGCACACAGGTGCTGGAGGAGTGAGTGCACTGACACGTCCTCGTGTGTCCCTTAGGAACAAACACGGCAAAGTCATCAAACCCCTGCAGTTCCAGTCCACAGTGGCTCCGGGCACGGTGGCGAGGGTGGAACCAAATATCAAATGGTTTGGTGAGTTTTCTTCAGCTTCCAGAGCCATCAAGCTTAAAAACTGCTGAGCTCTGTGTGTTGGAGGGCATTTGTTCCAGAGCTGTGGTCTGAGGGCTGTGTGGGGTGGGTACTGAGCTGAGGGACCCCTCTCCTCTAGCTGTGCTCTGGGGGGTTGCTTTCCTTAAGGGTGGTTATTCTGGCTCCTGTGGTCATTCCCTGGCATCTGCCTGTGTACATGGATTTTAAGTGTCCTTAGAGATAGTTTTAAAATTTCCTTTTAAATGTTGGGGGAAAGAGAGGGATTGGCCTCTTTGTGCTTATCTGGAACCCCAAAGTCTCCAGTAAAATCCTCTGGTTTTGTCCCTGGTGTTTTTGATCCCAGACAGAGAGTTCCTGCTTTATTGTGTCCCCAGGGTGTGTGGAGCAGTTAAGGGGAGGAATGGCCAGGTGCAGTGTTTGTTTTTACATGCAGGAAATACTCGTGTGATCAAGCAGTCGTCCCTGCAGAAGTTCCAGGAGGAGATGGAGACGGTGATGAAGGATCCCTACAGGGTGGTTATGAAGCAGAGGAAGCTGCCCATGTCCCTGTTCTACGATCGGATCAAACCACACGTGGGTGTCACTCCCTGAGCAGGAGAGGCATTTACCTGGGAACGTGTTTCTGCTCAGTCTGGGGAAATGTTAGGTTCTGGAAGCTTTGGGAGAGGCAGCTGAAGTGGATTCCTTGGGGAAGGATGGTTCTGATTCCCTGTCACTGTGGGCATCGAGTGTTAGGGCAAA